GCTTGGATAGTTTAACTGAAACAATCGAAAATGATTTCACTTTCTATCTCTCTGGGATTCAATAAGACAAAAATGAAAAAAAAAATGGAAAATAAAGGCTACTACTTTAATAACTCATGAATAAACCTTTTTTATTTTTATAAGAGAAAGTGAAAATTCTACAAAAACTCATCAAACTTCACCATATTGAATATAGAAGAAAATATCTTATTTCATAGTAACTTATGCCTCAAAATTACAAAGAAAAATATGCAGTAAAAAGATTGAAATGTTTTTTCAAATTAACAATTTTAAAAGTTTTTTTTAACTATCGCCCTTTAAGCTACTGCCATCTATAAAAAACTAATTTCCCACTGTTGTTGCTTCAAACTCTTCCGACCACGTAGCTTCTCTCTTCTCTTTCATTGCTCTATCATCACCAATCATCAAGCATAGATCAAGATCAATCATTTTACATTTAACCACATCGCAAAAACCTTTTTCTTTGACAAAATCTTCATCTCTTGTCCTAAAACTCTGTCCATCATCATCAATTGTTTTTGAAACATTATCAAAATCTGACCCTAAAACATCGCTAATTTGGGGGTTAGGGTTTAAGTATTAAATTAAGGTTTATGTTTAAAGGGGAATTAATTTGTTTGGGGTTTAATTTTTTTTTTACTAATTCATTTTTTTTTTAGATTTTCTGGTTACCTAAGCAATCCATGTCATGCTTACATGTCATTTTGTGTCCATGTAGCAAATTTTTATTGGCTAAACTAGCCAAGTCAGCATTTAAGCTAATGAAATTAACTTTTGGACCAAATTGATATATGATTTCATAGTTTAGGTACTTATTTAGCAATTTTTTTAGTTTAGGTATTAAATCCAACAAACTATAATAGTTGAAAGGCCATGTAGGATATTATCCCTATGTAAAACCATGTTTCAATTTCAAGTAAGTATAAAAGTAAAAAGAGCAAAGATTGCTACAAAAATGAAATAACTTACATATAAAGATCTTTCATGAATGGAAAAAATATATGTGCAAAAACATATATCCAACACATAATGAAAATAAAAAAAACTAATATTAAAAATTATATACAAAATCAAAGAGAGCAAATGAAATAATGTCTATGCAAAGATGTTCGCATTTAAAAAAAAAAAGAGCAAATACAAACATGGTATGAAGCATATAATGAAAAAAAAAGATTCATTTTCAATTAAACTAAAACTAAAAAGACAAAGTTGCCCATAATTGACAATTCCACATTCACACCTTTTTTCTTTTTTTTTTTATACATGGACAAGTGAAATAATGCTTGTTCAAAAGTGTTTACATGGATGATACATGTACAAATGCATGTATATAATTAAATAATATTATGTGATGCAAAAAAAATTCCAACTCAAATCTCTTTTTTTTTTTTTTTATAAAGAAACAAAACTTTTTAAAAAATGATATATTAGAAAAATTATCTCAACAAAACATCAATATCAACAAATTAAAATCAACATAAAAACATGTTCTACACATGGGATCCACATAGCTCTACCTTAAGTTGAGTTCTCTGAGTTCACTATATGCCAAGTTGCGATGTTTCACAATTTAAAAAGTTCCTAAATTGTTATTAACTTTTGTCCATGATAAATTAATAAGGCACCATAATTCACATCCATCACAAGTTATAAGTAGGAAGAGTTTAATTTAAGTCGAAGTATTTTGCTAGCCCATGTAAAAACATGAAATCTCACAATAACATAATTCTTTATTCCTTTATAAAGTGATGGAGCTTAGGTATAGAGTTTATGTCTACGTATACAAATAATGTATGCAAAGAAAACCATTAAATGCCAACAACTTAAATTGAAAAGAATAAATAAATAATAATAAAGTAAGATAGTAAAACCATTAAATTTATTAAGGATTGGATAATACAAAATCAAGTATTAGTTTGACTCTTAAAGTCTCCAGTGGAATCGTTAAATTGTCATAACATATAAGTTTGAAAACTCGATTATTAGACACTAATTAGGAGTCGCTATCAATTTTTTTTATTTAAGTGTGATTGGTCACCTAATTGAATTTATTCACTTTAAAAAGATTTTAGACTTAACTTAATTTCTTTAAAAGAGTATACTCTAGTATACAAAATCAGGCTAAGTTTGAAAGTACAATTACATTAATCTTCCTACAACATTTTTTCAAATGATAGTATTAATTGATTTTGTGTTACCCAAAACTTTAAAAAAAATCTTCTTAAATAATTTAATATTAAAAATTATTCTTAAAATTACTTTAATAATTTGATAACAATTTAATAATATTTTTGTAGCTTAAGAGTATTAAATGAGACAACCGTCACTCTTTGAAGATGCTTCGTTGTCAAATTCATTAAAATTTTTAAAAAAATTATTTTAAAAAATGAATAAAATTTTTCAATAGTTTGATAAAATTTTATTTTGAGATTTAAATCTTTCAATTATTTGGTATGATTAAATATCTACAAAATATATTTATTTTTTAAAAAGATCATTAAACTTTCTAATAGTTTGTTAAGATTTAATTTTAAAATTTAAAATTTTCAATAATTAATAGGATTAACTTTTCAAAAGTTTATTTTTAAAACCTAATAAGAATCCTCCAATAATTTCAAAAATTTAATTTCAAAAATTATTTTTAACTTATAAGATCTTAATTTAAACAAATAAATAAATAATATCAAAATTGCCCTTCGACATTAATAGCTTGGCAGCTCGATCAGCGGCTCAACTCTGCAGCGAACGGCTCACGTGGCTCTTGGAACGGCTCAGCTTGAAGATGGCTTTCGATCTCGGTCGGGTCGGAGGTTCGTCAATAAGCATGAGGATCCTAATCTCTTTTACTCCAGTCGAACGACGCCGTATCAATAATACTATAAATGCTTTCTTTCAAGCATTTCCTTTTCTTTTTCAGTTTCTTCTCTCTTTAAAATTTTTTGTCCGCCTCTCTCATTAAAAACCGATGAACACCGACCGTTTCTTCAAGCTTTTCCAGATTTCGATCGCCTCTGGCAGCTGCTCACCACCGGTGTCGCCACTCACCGGTGATCAAAAACTCCAAAAATTTCAAAATAAGTCCTTTCAGACTCTTCTTTTTGTTTTCCGCCTTAGGTTTTTCAAAATCTTAACCGAATTCCCCAGATCTAATCTCTAAGCCAAAATTGCCAAAACTTGTTTTTACCTTCGCCGCCACCCAAATATCCTAAACTTCCCCTAAATCACCTCTAAGAGCTTCCTGCTCTTTTCCCAATAACCCAGAAACCAAAGATAACCGAAAGAACCCAGCGAAAGGCTAAAACCCCCCAAAAAATCCTCACTGGAAGAAACTTTTTATGGTACTTTACTTTTTTTTCCTTGTTGTTGACTATTACTGGGTTTATTGGGGATTTTGCTGGAATTTTTCTGATTCTTGTGTTTCTGTGTATGGTGATTTTTCCATGTGGCTATTTGAATGAATGTGCCGTGTGTTGTATTGAATTCCAGGCTAAGGTTTCTCTGTTGTACATTATTTTGAATGTGGCTTTTATGGTTGTGAAATTGGCATGCTAGTGAATGGAGAAAGATGAATTTCAATAGAGAAAAGGAAAAAGAAAAAGACTTTGTTACTTACAGAGTTTTATAAAACAGGATAAAGATCAGCATACACTCTCCGCTACTCCAACAATATTTTTAGAATTCATAATTATCAATTTCAGGTAAAATTTTATTATTAAATCTAATTTATTTTACAATCCATTGAGTAATTTTTTTATAATAATATGACATTCTAAAAAAATTATTATATTTAAAAAACTATTTGGCGGTTAGTGGTAATTAGAATGATGGTTGTACTGACTTCAGTAATTAAGTTTTGAAGTAATTATTACATCAAACCAATTATATATAGATTGAATCCAACTCATAAAGAAAAAAACTATAACTGACAACAGTGTAAAAAAGGAATTTTAATAAGAATAAGTAAAAAATTAAAATTAAAATTAGACTAAAAATGTATAATAAAAATCAGTAATAAGAAACGTTAAAAATATTTTTAATTCATGACTTATACTTATAGTGAAAAAAATTATTAAAAAATTTAAATTAAAATAAATATAAAAATACAGATATGATTTATTTTTTGACCTTTTTTAATAAATTTTCATAGTGTCGATATAAAAAATTACTAATTTTTATACTAGTTACATGTATAGTATTAATTTTTAAAAGTTGAGTATCGTCAATTATTTTATTATTTTCATATTGATTGTAATTTGAAAATAAAATAAAAAGTTATTGGTACTTAAATTGGAACCCCACATTTATTAAATATTATTTTAAAAAAGAATTATATAAATTAATTAAATTAAATTTCAATTTCATTACTACTTATGTTGTTTTTAATGAGTCTCTATGATCTTCGCATTAAACTCAACACCAATGATAATTTCGAGTCTTGATCTAACAGTTTATGTTCTTTTCTCGCGGGACAAATCGAAAGTTCTAGTTGAGTAAGAACTTGGTCTTTAACTAATGCTAATGATGAAGAGATTTATCCTCTGTTAAGGAAAAAAAAAAGAAAAATCCAAGAAACGAATGAAATGTAGATTGCAAAATCAGTGTGGTCTTTGTCTTTGCATGACGAGATCACGTAAAATTCACATTAAGTAGACAAATGACAAGCTGCCAAAATGGACATATTTTGATCTTATGCACAACAAAAACAGAAAATAGTTATATATATATATATATATAGCTTTAAAATTAGAAAACAAAACAAAAGCCGAGGAGATGAGCTGATTTTTACTAAGAACTTGTAACCGACCATAAACTGTAAACTTTCCCTCCATAGAGAAAACCTCCCCAACGACTGCCAAAGTTGACTGCCAGTTGGCCAATAACAACCAATCATAGAGACACGCTTTTTTTTTCTTTTTTTTTTTGCTTTTTTATTTAAGATTTCTGACAGGTCAAATTTCTTGGTTGAGGTTGCAGCAAAAGGTCGCTGTCTCGATAAAAACAATCCCCCAACTTTTATCTGCCTTTTAGATATTTCTTTTCTTTTATTTGTAGCAAATTTCAGTTTCGGTTACATTTCATGCCCACCCCTTTTTCTACTTTTAAGTATAAACGTGTCTTCCCTTGGTCAAAGTCCTTTCTAAAAGGCTTGAACCTGATCAATTGTTTAGCCAAAGAAAAAAAATGTTATTTTGATCTGGGTATTTCAGATTCTGATTCTTTAAGGAGTATCTGGATTTGGGTTTTGCAGATTTTGTTTCATCCTAATAATTTTGGAAATGGGTTTTTTTTATTGAGATAATTCTATTTATTTGAGGCTGTGGAGATTTTGGATATTGCAGATGTTTATTTGATGGGAATTTGGCCTTGAGGGGCTTTTGTCATACTCCATTTTTGAAATTGAGGGGCTTTTTAGGCCTTGAGAACAAACCTGTTTTCAAAAAGCTTGGCTTTGGTCATCAATGAGATTTTTAAACCTTGTGGGAAACTCCTTTGGATGTTCTGCATCTGGGGAACGCCTAGTTTCGGCGGCAAGAGATGGTGATCTTCAAGAAGCCAAGGCTTTATTGGAATACAATCCAAGGCTTGCAAGGTATTCAACTTTTGGAGTTCGCAATTCGCCTCTCCATTACTCTTCCGCTCAGGGGCACCATGAGGTATTCAATAGCTTAAATATAGGCCATCAAACATTTCTTGCAAAGAAGTCATTATGGTGATTGATTTTTTTTTTTTTTTGTATTTTTATATCAGATGGTTTCACTCTTGCTTGAGTCTGGAGTAGATATTAATCTCAGGAACTATCGGGGTCAGGTAATTCAATTTTCTTTTGTCTTACTGAAATTTGTGTTTTTTCTCATCCATTATTGGATTTTCTCTTTTAGTTTAGGTTTCATGGGATACTGTTGTTTGTTTGAAGTTTTCTTTTTCAACTGTGATGAACAGACTGCTTTGATGCAAGCTTGTCAATATGGCCACTGGGAGGTTGTTCAGACTCTGATTCTTTTTGGGGCCATTGTAAGACAGTTACTCGCTGTTTAGTTTCCTCGATTACAAGATATCTGAATAGTTTACAAACTCGAGTGGAATCGAATTATGATGAGTTAAGTTTGTGCTGAAATGGTTTTTAGATTCACAGAGCAGATTATCTTAATGGGGGTACTGCACTCCACTTGGCTGCCTTGAATGGTCATTCCCGTTGCATAAGGCTCCTTCTTGCGGATTATATTCCTAGCATCCCCAATTGTTGGAATATATTAAGGAAGAAATCAAAAAATAAAGAATCTACTTCGGAATTCGATGAGAGGTAAAATTTTATCAATCCTCTTTATTTTTTCTTATATCTACTTTTCTATTTTGATTCATTCATGTTCATCTTAATCGTCCAGTGCTCTCCATGAGGTCATCAATAGACCTGCCGATGGAGGCGTCACGGCTCTTCATATGGCAGCATTGAATGGCAATGTTGAAAGTGTTCAATTGCTCTTGGATTTGGGAGCTTCCGTTACAGAGGTCACTATGGAAGATGGGACGACAATTGATTTAATAGGTAATTCAGTTATGCTGTTTACCAATTTAATTAATGGTCCTTGCCTGTTTCACAGTCCAATGGTTTTGCAGCTAATTGTAGTTGAGAAATAATAGCAAAATCATTTTTAACTAGCAGTTTAATTCTGCATTGCGCTTTTTTCATGTTCATCAGAGTTCCTCTCTTCCGCCCTCCTTTTCTCCCCTGCTTCAGTTTTCTTTCTTCAATAATGATTGTACTTCAATTCCTTTTCTTGTTCGTCCTTTTCTATTTTATCTTTCCTGTTTTCTTAGCTGCCATGCCATGTCAAAAGTACAATATCTGGGTGGATTTCCTGTATATTAGTTGTTTGATACACTTCTGCCTATCTGCTAAGAAATTGTACGATAAATACCATCGGCTGTTTGTTCCACATCCCTAAATGGCTAAACTACCCTCTCGCACCCTATCCTTTTCTTCAAGTGTTTTGAGGCTTTGAAACTGCAAAATGACTATTCTGTTAATTTCTATGTCATTTTTATATTCATTAGTAAAGCCTGGTAAACAATGTGATCAAATTCTAGGGCCTTTTAGATGATCATATAGAACATTATGGTTTATAGGTACATAAGTATGAAAACTTCAAACGCCATCAGAATAGTAAATCTTGCCCCCTGCAATCCTAGTTTTCTCCTTTTTGTTTTCTTGATATTAACCTTATTTTGCACCTAAATAATATAATAGCATCATTATGTTTGTCACCTTGCAGGTGCAGGGAGCACTGCTCTTCACTATGCTGCTTGTGGTGGAAATGCAAGATGTTGTCAGGTATGTTCTTAGTCTCTGCAGCATCACAACTACATAAAAGAAGGGAAAAATGGAACAAGAAGAAGCTAAATCATGTAGCAATATTATTCATGCTGAAGATTGTTTTTTCATTTCCAATTTTTAATTTTGATGTATTGTGCTTCAGATTTTGATAGCCATGGGTGCCAGTGTTACTGCTACAAATGCAAATGGGTATGTTTCTGCAACTCTTATTATGTTTAAATATTTTGCTTCATTATTTTTACTTTTAGCAAAGGTATTTTCATTTTTAAAAAATTGCATAAATTGCGTTGTGAAGCTAGAACTTTGAATTGTAGCTACTGCTACAACACATAAGTAGCAAATAATATGTTTGCTTCTCAAAAGTAAAAAGCTAGAATAAAAATTATAGTAAAATGCTTCCTTGCTAGAAGTGGCTAGTATAAAGTGCAAAGCCTTTAAGCACAAGCAGTTATATATTGCCATCTCGCTTATAATTTTTGAGCATGAAGTGAAATCAACTACAATTTTGATGGGTTTTTAAAAGATAGACTGAAGGTTTTCACAGTTTAATTGTCTTCCTGCTCTCTCTCCCCTTCTTGCCCCTACTTAAGACATCCCTTTCATTTCGCCATCTTTCTAAATCTCTCTTTCTGACCTGCGTATGAGTTATACATATTTATGGGTTAAAAAGATATGACTAGAAAGAAGCAAGATCAAGACAAATGTCAGAAAAATGCTAATCAGAACTAAAAAAAATATTTACCCAAACCTAGTGAAAGTTGCCATGTGGTGGAGTTTTACTCCATGGTTTTGCAACTAAAGCAGCTATATTGAGGAAGGATACATTTTGATTAAGGAGGCAAAGGATCTATGTTTCTTCATTGGTGATTATGCTTGTTCCTCACATTTCATTGTTAAAATTCTCCTGATAGGTGTATATTTTATGTATGCAGTCACCATTTTTCATATTTTGGGGTAAAGCTATGAAGTCATTTAAAAAGGAAGGTGTGATGCCGTATTTAATCTGAACTATAAGATTTACTTCATAGCATCTTAGAAGTTCACCCTGTCATCTTGTGGCTACACCATATCACCTTTGGCATGGTAGAAATTTTTAATATATTTTGATGAAAATGGCAGTTCAATGGCAATAGTGGTTAATCAAAAGCACGAATCCTATTATAAAATTAGCCTTTGGAACATAAGAAGTGAGATGCCTGGATGTCACATAAACATTTGCTACTTCATGAAACTCATTGAGATAAACTTTTGTTTCGTATGCTATTACTTTTCTAAACCTTTTCTTGATGAATAATCAGATGTGACTTATTCTTGTTTTTTAATTATTACCTAAAGGTGGACATCCTTAATGGTTGCCCGTTCATGGCGTAAAAATTGGCTTGAGGAAATCCTTAGCACTCAGCCAGAAGGCCAGTCAGAAGTTCTTCCTTCACCATTTCTATCTCTTCCCCTTATGAGCATTGTTAAAATTGCTAGGTGAGTGAAATCTGCACTATGTGTCCCTACTTTACGTTATTGCATCAATTCTCTGAGCCATGGACTTTTGTATAACCTTGTAGATACTTGGTTTTTGCGTGTGATTTGTTGATCCATGAACTTTCTATCCTATTTGTAAAGACTGCAGTTTGTTAATTTTCTAGCTCAGTAGGTTGGAGTGCTTATTCTTAGAAACAGAGACCAAGGTACTTGCTATCACCAATCACTCAAATTACATTGCCGGCATTTTGTCTATGGTCTTGGCTTCCTTTATATCTGTTAGACAGGAGTTTTACTTCCATGGAAACTGTCAAGAGTTTTACACTGAACTGGCAGGAGTTTCTTCTGGATATTATGTTTAAGTGCTAATGACATGTTTCTTTGGGAGAGATAAAGGTAGAAAGAGTATATGTCTTCTAGAGAGGTGGAAGGGATGTACAGGATGATGCTAAAGTTATGGTACCGCAATAAAAGTTGGGGAAAGAAACTCAAGCAGATGCACTAAGAATCTATAGTTTAAATTGTACTAGCTCAGGAAAGTGCATCAACGTTCTTGGATTGTGGTAACTGGTAACAACTAACGCATTTCTGGAGAATACCTTCTCTCATTAGTGGGGTCAGCCAATGACAAGTTGGTTTTTTAGATTATATTCTATAGGGTACATGCAGTAGCTAAATCCGCATGACATTGTCTAGAAGACTTTATGCTTCTGCTCTGAAGTTTTTAAGTCATTGACTATCAACCAGCTGTGAAATTATTTTCTAAGCTGTAGTCAATTTCCATTGCCTCTTACTTAAACTGAATCAACTTCTTCCAAGAAACTTTAGAACAAAATGCTGCTAAATGTCTATTTTTACCTCATGTACTTGAAGTGTTTCCTTCACTTAATTTATTTACTCCTTGCCTGTTCCCTTGTTTCCCTTTCAACTCTCAAGCCATTTAGAGTCCAACATGATCAACAAACAGACAAGATTAGTAGAAAGGTATTAGCATTTGTCTTCCCAAAGTTAGCTGACAAATAATTTTTTGCTTCACCGTGATTGGCGAGTTTTGTTTTTGCTTTAATGTATAGTAACTTACAAAAGAAAAAGAAAAGGAACAAAAGAGAAGATTGGCAAGTTTCATTTCGCTGTGTTGTCTGGTATACTTCTATTAAGTATCATGCAATATCGAATTATTGTTTCATTTAGAAGAGTGGAAGGTTTGAGTTTAAGAATTTGTATTACAATTAAGGGGACTCAAAAGTTATACATATACATAAATACAAATCTATAATATGCTTTTATTTTACACGTGAGAAAGGGTGAATAGCAACTAAAACTTGCAAGTGTCTTTTTTTTGTTTTATCCTCAAAGTACCATTTAATTTTTTAATCAGTAAAGAAACTTGATAGATTTAGGTTGTTGTATTCTTTAGATTTTGCATGAGTTGGATTTAGATTTGCATGAACTTCCAAATTAAAATTAAATCATTGGCTTTTCACTTTTTCTTGTCTTATTTTGTAGTAATACATTTCCTTTCAGTTTAAATAACTTTGCAATTGATCACATGGTGGCATGTCATTAAAATATTTCTTTTCGATGGTGCCTCACTCACATGGTGACATGGCATTTTTAAGTCCATCTCGCAAATTTATTTTCAGAGAGCCCACATATGGCACCGTTTGTTTATTTAGAAGCCACATTATCATTTTTTTTCTAAAAAGCCACATAATCACTCCTAACTTATGTTGTTGGTCAAATGAGCACATTGAACACAAAGATGGTTCGTGTATCAAGTTGAATAAATAAACAAACTGTGTTGAGGTAAAAAATTAAACATCAGGTCCTAGTTCAACGGCCATTTCTTTAGTTATCCCTTCTTATATATGTTGCTTTGTTTTAATAAATTGTCTGAGTAGTACTCCGCTGCACAAAATTATGCTTTATGTTCACATTAAGCGACCCGTTTTTGCTGTGACTAGCTGTTTAAATCAAATATAGAGTGAAGATGATCTAGGCTGTTGAATAGTGATCCCTTTCTAGAAATAGAACAGGAAATTTTGGGGAGCTGATGCACAAAATCATTGAAATAAATAACTTAAGATCATCAGCCTTGTCCTTTTCGAACTTTTGTTGTAACAATTGCTTATACATTCATAGAAAGATAAGTGCAGGAAAATTGATAAATGTATGGACATGCATTCAGAAGTATATGCAGGCAATGAGCATGTATTTATGAATACGATGGCTAGTGGATATCACCATCAAGTTTTCATCTGAAATCCCTTTTTAAATTTAAGATGAACTAAACCTGTTCTCCCTTCTTTGTCTTATGAAGAGAATGTGGATGGAGGACTGGTGATTCCTTATCCTCATGCCAATATCCATGTGCTGTGTGTCTGGAGAGGAAGTGCACAGTAGCTGCAGAAGGTAACTTTAATTTATCTTTAAATGTAACCAATCTTGCTAGAATATTCTTATCATTGTTTAAGTGGCTAGGATCAATGTAATCTACAGGATATATATGCATTGATATAGGTATCATTTGTAAGGAGTATGTTGTGGTATCTGTGATTATTTTTGTATAGCTGTATCAAGAATATTTTTCTATTTATTTCTCCCAGGGAGATTCAGCAATGAAACCTCTAACTAAAGTTCTAATATTAAAATGACATTTTATTTCACATATATTATTCATTAATTTCTTTTAGAGATAAACACACGCACAAACACGCATGGAACCTTTTTTCCGCATGCAAGAATAGAGACATAAGATAGACTAATTCTTGTTTGTAGTGAGGTTGAGATGAAATGAGTGACGATTTTCACAGTGTGTAGGCTCTAATGTTGCATTTGTAATTGTATGAATTTAATTAAGTCTTAGCCACGTAGATATAGTGCTATGGTCTTACTTATGTTTTAAACAAGTAGCAATTTGCTAGGGTAATGTTACTAACACATATACAGTGGGAGGAAGAGAGCTGGAAAAAACATAGACATATATATGCTAAAAGGAAATTATGTGTTGTTTAGATTTATGATTTTCTTTTGTGAAACATTCTGCACCACTTATTTTGAATTTGTCACATCTAGCATGAATCTAGTCATTTTTGGGCCATGTACAAATTGGCTTACAAGTGCTAATAACACTAGGACAATTCCATTTTAATTTGTCATACGGATTTTGATCCATATATGTATACTTTATGAAATTCAAAATCCATTTCTTCATTATATGCATACTGAATTTTCATGATACAGCGGGAATTTATGTATATATGGGACCAAATATAACTGAAATCAGGATTCACAAAATAAATTGTCCATGGTGCAGGTTGTGATCACGAGTTCTGTACACAATGTGCCTTGTACCTCTGTTCTACAAATAATACCTCAAATGTTGTTCATGGTCCAACTGGCTCTATTGCATGTCCTCTTTGCCGGCATGGGATAGTATCATTTGCCAAGCTCCCAGGAACAAAAGCAAAAGTTAAGGCAGTAGCAAGAACAAGTTTGTCCCTATCTTTCTGCACGTGTTCTAGTGAGATACCAGAGTCAACTTCAATGACAGCCCCTCTTTGCAAACCTGCGGTCTATTGCGCTCGAAATTCTACCATGGGATCTTCTTTCCGCAGCATAAGCTGCCAGAGGTTTCCATCAATGAGAATCCACTCTAGCCTTTGCATGGGAGCTCCAGATACTAGTCCCTCTTTAGTTCCCTGCCCTGCTGACCGGAATTTGCGAAATCACTTGGTTAGGTGCTCAAGATGGAGCTTACGACGATCAGCTTACGAGGGCCGAAGATCATGGTTTTCAGCACTTAATCAATGTGTTACTACAGACAGTGGTTGCTGATAATTTTGTTTTCTTTTTTTTTCTTTTTTTGTCCAGCCATTCATTTTCTATCACATATCTGATATCATGGATTTTTCTTCATTTAATTGTGTCCATATTTTTTTTATTGAAATATCTTGTTGATAATGATTCCTGGTTGTGTAAAAGCCAAAAGACGTCTTTTACCAATTATTATTATAAAATAAATTAGGAATTATAAGAAATATTAAAGTAGAGTGACTTTGGATTTTTTGTTTAGTTCACATTGAAATTGTATCTTCCTCTAATTAATTATATGGTCAAGTTAATTATGGTGATTGATTTCATAAAAGAAGTTGTGATAGTTGATTCAATTGTGTCGATTAGACATTAAATGTAATAAACTTGACAATAATTTGTCAATTATTGAATCAATTATCATAATTTAACAATTAATTGGCTTAATAGAAAAATAATTAATATATAACTCAAAGCTAAAAAAATAAAAAATCCTTTTAAATCTATCATTTTATTTAGATATATTTTTATATTCTTATTATACTCAAATAAATTTTTAATTTTTATTTAAACAAGCTTTTAACTTTTAATTTATATCTAAATCGGCCATTAATATAAAATCAGTCTTTTTTTTTTCGAAAAAATCAACGTTTCATTTGAAATAAAAATTTATTTAACAAAATTAAAAGATAAGGATTCATTTGAATACAATAAGAGTTTGTTTAAGAAAAGTAAAATAGTTTTGTTTTTTTAGTATTTTAACCATAACTTTTTTGTTAAAGGATAAGGATTCATTTGAATACAATAAGAATTTATTTAAGAAAAATAAAATAGTTTAATTTTTTTAGTATTTTAACCATAACTTAACAATATGGGACTTTAAATTTGAGAAAATGTACAAATAAAAAAAGTTAATTACACTTTTGATAATTTAATTTTTAAAAAATATACAAATTGGTATTCAAGAAATAAAATGTACAATTTGCAATTGAACTTTTAAATTATGTATCATATTAACCTAAATTTTAATCCTATTAACCATATCAACTTATATACATGGATTTTAATAAATATTATCAAGCTATATATTCACCAAACATATTATTAATGTTTTTTTACAATATAAATTAAAAATATATATTTTTTAATTTACTTAAATCATAAAAAATATTTGCGACGAGTCAATTATTTTTTATTACTCGACATTCACATGAAAGTTTATACAAAATATTTAATATTTTTTATTTAATAAATAACATGCAAATAATAAATTATATTCGGTAGATACTAAACTTGTTAAGAATATTAGAATTTGGATAACAATTACACATTACTAAAAAGTTCATAATGTAAAATTATATATTATATTTTTTAGATATCAATTTATATATTTTTTCAAAATTCAGATAAAAATGTAATTAAATCAAATAAAAAAAATCACAAAACTTAATTGAACCAAATAAAAGTTCAATGGTATAAATATATAAATTTTAAATGGCTTAAATACAAAATTTAAGAAATTGCAATGTTTTTTTTATATAAAAAAGGCCCAAGAGTTGAATCATGTTGTATACAATTTTGTTTATAAAATTATTTTCTTCCATGTAGTTACCTTCTCGGCTTTCAAAACATTTCTGACTGGTTTTTAGCTGAAAGCATATTCCAGTCTGCTGCTGCCATTCTTTATATTTTTGGGGTACTACCAACCCGTTGAAAAGAATATTAAAAAAAAAAAAAAAAAAACAGAAAAAAATGGTCAAATTTTAATTTAGGTAAAGGCATATTCCCTCCCTGCAGAAGATATCAGAACTTGAACCTGGCAGAAATGCCGAAACAGTCATATTTGTTGTCATTTTGGATCGCTTATTTATTTGTTTTCTTTATAAGGAAAAGCAGGATATTAACAAATTTTTTATAAAAAATATATATATTAAATATTTACCGCTATAATAAATATAATAATATTATTAAATTTAACGATTAATTTTTTAAAATATATGTACACATATATATATATATATACACACATATAAAAGTATACAAAAGCCTCGATTATTCATGTACTTTTGTCAATAATTTTTATTTTATTTTATTTTAGTTATTTATTTCAATCACATTATTAATAAATTCATTGTATGAATAATAAAATAGGAAATCATAAATGGATTATTGGGATTTTTTTGTAAATTCTTAATTTTTCTCTAAATCTCTACTCTTATAAAATTAAAGAAAATGTTACGCGTATAAATTTATTAAAATTTATAATCTTTAAGCATCAGCTTTAATATTATATTACCTGATTCAAAGGTCAATCCGTAATTATTAAGATTTAAATAAGGGAAGAGTAAATTCCAAAAATAAATTTATTGCATGATCCATGTGACAATTGGCAAAAAAAAAAAACAAAAATAAAAATAATACTTACATTTATTAAAAATTTGACATAATTTTTTTATATTTAAAAATATCAAAATTTGAACTATGATTATTAAAATTAAAAATTTAACATTATACTAATGAATAATACAATTATATATTGACAAAATTCAATATAATAGTATATAGAAAATAAAATAAAATGCTATTGTTTCTTAAACTATCTGTTGTTTTTCATATACATCATAACAATAATTACAATAAAAGCTTTGATTGGTCCCTCAAAGTGTTGAATCCCAACACATTTGAGTTTCTTGTTGTATAAATATCATCGACAATTTGATCATTCATTCAATTTGCATATGATAAGAAAATAAGTTCACATTTAAGTATAATAGTTAGATTTTTTATTGATTTAAATATTTAAAATAATCCGTCATCTAACTTTATAAGATTTAATCTTTTTAATTTGTTCACTTATTTCAATCGTCCCATTAAAATATTTATACAATACTAATCTTTCCGTTTCAAAATATTATTTTTTAAAAATTTTTACAAAATTTAAAATATAAAAAAAAAGGAAAAATGAGAAAATTAATTTTTATTGTATTCGATATGAAAGATTAAAAATAAAAGAAAAAATAAAATAAAATAAAATTATAATTATAATTACTAACTGAAATTGAATGATTTTTTTTTTCACATTAGAAAGGACTGAATTAAAAAAAATTATAAATCCATTATTTTCTTCTCTTATAAAAAATTTCCTTTTCCCTTGTATCTAAGCTTGATTTAGTAGCAAATAAGCTATTAAGACACTAATGAACGGTTGGTTTAAGTTATAAGAAAAGTATATTTCTCTTTTAGTTATTTGAGTTTAAATAGCTGAAAAATAATTAAAAAGTAATTTTTTATAAATTTATTAGATCTAACGCATATAAACCAACTTAAACCAATAAAAAATATATATTAAACAAAACTCAAGAAGCCTTACTGTTAAATAAAGAAGGTAAGCCACTAAGGCCGCTTTGAATTCAACCGAATCTCCACTAGAGGTTCAATTGTAATGAACATTCACACCAAATATATATTTCAGTCGTTTGAATGCAAATGCTGAGTGCGTTTACTGGCCATTTCTTGTCCAGTGGCAAATCTACCTTCACTTTTTTTTTTTCACCCTTTTTTTTATTATTTTTATTAGTTTGATTTTAATCTCTTTTATTTTGATTTTTTACTTTTTTTTATCTTGATCTTTTTATTTCCTTTTTATTTTGATTTTTGTCCTTTTTACTTTTTATTTTGATTTTTTACTTTCGTTTTTATTTTTTACTTACAAATTGCAAAATAATTTCATTAATTTCATATAATAAAAATATTATTTGATATAATATTATTTTTATTATTATTATTTATTAAAAATTTATTATTTGATCTAAAAATAATTTCATAAATTTTATTTATTTATTATTTTTATAAATATTAAATAATTTAAATTTTTTATTACATAAGTTTATAATTTAATGTATTTAATTATTATTTTTTCTATGTACGATAACTTTTTAATCTCATCAGTAGTTTTGTATTTAAATATATATTTTATTATTAATTTTAATCTCACTATTATAATAATTAATATCACTAAATTAATCTTATCTGTTAGTCCAAATGAACTCTGAGACAAATTTTTTTTTATTCTTTATTTAATTAAAGGTGTTTTGCCTATTCTCTACACCTACAACTTGTATTGTGAATGGCGATGCTCATGGAGCCCAAGGGGCATGGCCTCCAAAAATTTTGAAATATATATTATTTTTTTAATAGCTTTAAAAACTTTTATTAAAAAATAATTAATCCCTTCAACCCTAAATTTAATTTATTTATATATTTTTTAATTTTTATATTTATATTAAATATATAATAATAATAATAGTTATTTGTGTCTAAATTTTATAATTTTCAACTTGAACTTACTTATTATAAATGATTTTCAATTAGAATGAATAAGTTTGTTATCACTATATTTTTATAAATGTGTAAATTTGAGTTTAAGATATATATATATATATATATATATATATAATAACTCAAATTGAATTGATAAATATTCAATTGTAATTTTTTTCAACGAAAAATTATTTCTTATTATATCTTGCATGTTGATTTTACTTGAAAATTGTTACATACAAAAATAATTACCATTATTAATTTAAGTACCTTTTAATTTTTTATAATGTAAAAATACCATATAAAAAAAATTAAAAGCTTTCAATTATCGTATCTAAACATCTATTTTTATTTAAAAATATAGATTCTTATGATTTTTTTACTTTAATACTTAAAATATTAAATATGATTAGGTAATGTGTTAATAATGTAAAAAATGTAATGATTTTATTTTTATAAGCAATGTTGCTAGTGATTTTTAAATAGAAATTGTAGGACTAATTATTTAATATATTCATTTTATTACATATATTTATATATTAACATAATTATAATTATAATTTTTGTTATTATATGTCATATTTTTTCAAAATTAAACATCAAGATTTGTCTATACCGTTTATTATCATTATTCTTTTTATTTTAATATATATATATATATATATATATTTGAAGTTAGTGATCATTTTTTACTTGTTGTACATGTGAAATGCTATGTGTCAATTTAATAAAATTTGGATGCTTAAAAACTCTAATCCCTAAAATTAGAGACTTAAATTTTAATTTAGAACAATATAAATAAATTGATCAAATAGTTTTTGCAAAAATTGAAATCTATAATTTCATGTGTTCCAAATAAAAACCCAAATCAATTAAAGAGTTAAACCCACAAAACAAATTTTGAAGAGAAAATAAAATCTTAAAAAATAACAAATTCAATCAAAACTAAAAACCCATATCAGATTCAACAAGAAATTAAAACCCAAAAACAAATTCAACAACAAACTAAAATACCCAAATCAACAACAAATTTGAAGAAAAAATAGAAACCAAAAAACAAAAATCACCAAAAAAAAAAAAGAAGAAAAAATCGGCTTAATTCGAATCAAAATTAAATCTGTTAAAAAAATAAAACCTCATAACAAAC